ACGCTGCGGCCGGTGCACTGCGCTGATCCGAAGGCAGGAGCCAAGGTGCTTCTCCTGGTCTCCCATGGGGTGCAGGGCCCAAGTACTTGGGCCATCCTCCACTGCACTCCCGGGCCACAGCAGAGAGCTGGCCTGGAAGGGGGGCAACCAGGATAGAATCCAGCGCCCCGACCGGGACTAGAACCCAGTGTGCCGGCACCACTAGGTGGAGGATTAGCCTATTGAGCCGCGGCGCCAGCCAGCCAGGAGCTTCTTCCAGGTCTCCGACGTGGGTGCAGGGGCCCAAGGACTTGGGCCATCTTCCACTGCTTTCCCAGGCCACAGCAGAGAGCTGGATCAGAAGTGGAGCAGCGAAGTCACTGACTCACCATAGGTGCCGGCCCCTAATAACACTGTTAAGATAAAAAAAGATCAGCCTGGCTCGTGCCTTTGGGGCGCTTGGCCTTCGGGCCACCCACCCCATGCTTTCTGGCCTGCAGGCTCCTCCACGTGGCTGGCTCCGGTGCTCGGTATGAATCCAGATTTCCGTTTCTTTCTTAGATGGAGCCCTCATTCTCTGCTGCATTTCTCTCACTAAATAAAAAACTTAAAAACTTAAAAAAAAAATCAGCCTGCCCAATCCTCTTCTATTTCTAGTCAACATTGTCATCAATCCAAAAAGAATTAAACAAAGGCGAAACAATTTATGTATGTTCTCTGCCACAGACAGAGAACTTACATACATTTATAAATACATATATTTATTTACATACATTACAGAGCATTTAACACAGTGGCCAAGATGCCACTTGGGGGACGGGTGGGCAGCACTGTGGCACAGGTTAATCCTCTGCCTGCAGTGCCGGCATCCAATATGGGCATTGGTTCTAGTCCTGGCTGCTCCTCTTCCAATCCAGCTCTCTGCTGTGGCCTGGGAAAGCAGAAGATGGCCCAAGCACTTCAGCCCCTGCACCCACGTCGGAGACCTGGAAAAATCTTCGGGCTCCTCACTTTGGATCGGTGCAACTCCAGCGATTGTGGCCATTTGAGTGGACCAGCAGATGGAAGACCTTTCTGTCTTTCCCTCTTTCTGTAACTCTGCCTCTCAAATAAATAAAATCTTAAAAGAAACAAACCCAAACAGATATGCTCCTCTGCTTCCAACCCAGCAGCAGGTGATAACTCAAGATGACCCACATGGGAGACCTGGATGGAGTTCCAGCTTCTTGGCTTTGGCCAGGTCTAGTCCCAGTTGTAGGGAATGAAACAGTAGATAGATCTTGGTCACTCTGCATTAAAAAAATGCTGGGTCACTGCAGTGATGTACAGACGCCTGCAGTGCGAGAATCTCATTTGGGTGCCAGTTCAAGTCCTGGCTGCTTCATGTCTGATTCAGCTCCCTGCTAATGCGCCTGGGAAAGCAGCAGTTGGCTCAAGTCCTTGGGTCCCTGCACCCATGTGGGAGACTCGGATGAAGATCCAGCCCTGGCCATTGCAGCCATCTGGGGAGTGAGCCAGCAGATGGAAGGCCTCTCTCACTGTCCCTGCCTCTCTCTCTAGCTCTTTCAAATAAATTTTTTTTAAAAAAGGTAAAAGAAAAAAAATAATTTAAAGAAAGTCCTCTCCCAATTCCAGCAACAGATTTGAAATGCTGAACATTTGGCCAGACTTACTGAAAAAACTTCAGGTTGGGCAGCTGAGTTGAAATCATGACTAAACACTTGCCAAATCCATACTCACTTACCTTCTCTCAGCATTACCTCCCCCAAATAATTCCTCAAATGAAAACCCAGATGAGTCAAAATTAAAATCAAAGTATAGGAGCCAAAGTACAAAAACCACTTTGCTGGGGCAACTAACCAAGGCTTGGCAGTATGAGCTCCAGACCAGACACTTGCTATCTGCTCTTCTGTTTTTCCAATGAGTAGCAGACGTGCTCAAGTTATCCAACAGTTGATGGTGAGGACAAGATGCTTAGGAAAACTGCTTAGAGCAGCAACTATTGGAGCAAGAGTTGTACCAGTCGTACCCTTACCAAACCACAGCAGCTTATAACCCACCACATCAACCACTCTCTCATCTGCCCTGGATATGGACTTTACAGTTTCTTCCATAAATTACCAAAAACTAAAACCTTATGTTTGGGAAAGTGTGTCTAATCCACAAAGATGGTGCCATTATTGCTACCATGCCTTCCCTTCCACTGACAAACTCTTTTTCCCTATTTGGGATATTAACTTGATGGACAAGGTAGGGTGATTATGGGAACATACATCTGAAAAACACTATGTTAAAATAAATTTTAAACAGACTTCTTAAAGCAATAGTTCTCTCAGATATTCAATAATGTGCACTACTCAGTCTCCCAGGGGAGGGCACGTGCAAAGGTCTCTGCTCACGGAAGCCTTTCATGGAACAAGCTGGGAGAGCTGGTTTACATACACATTAGTCTTCACAAGCCAGCTTCGTACCTGACTGTGTCACACTGTATGAAAACATCCTGCTCCAAGTCTGAAATGGCCTATGTAGAAACAAACTTGCGGAACACAGCCAGATCACACCTGCGGACATCTCCACTCACTGGGTACTTGTTTCTGGCACACAAACCCCAAACAAAATAATGTTCAGGTTTTCAGATTAAAATGAAAGTAGAAACCTAAAACAAACAAAAAATATTACCTTAGAGCATATGGTATGTGTATCACATCTTTGAAAACAAGGTGAAATTTCTAAAATGAATTATCTAAAAAAGTATGGATAAAGACTACTGAAATTCAGTTAGCCTGGATCTGATTCTCACTATTTAATGTATGAGACACTACAACTGAGTAATCTGGCCAAGAGTGTTATATATATAATAATGCCTGTCTAATGTGGTGGTTTTGAGGACCAGATACAAGGGACCTTGCATACAGCATGTAACAATTTCTCAATAAATGGTAGCTGCTGTTACCATTTTTTAAAAAAAGATTTATTTGAAAGGCAGAGTTACAGAGAGGCACATAGTGGGGAGGGGGGTGTCTTCATCCACTTGTTCACTCCCCAAATGGCCTCAATGGCCGGAGCTGTGCCGATAGAGAGCCAGGAGCCAGGAGCCAGGAGCCAGGAGCCAGGAGCTTCTTCTGGGTCTCCCATGTGGACGCAGACACCCAAGGACTTGGGCCATCTTCTACTGCTTTCCCACGCCATAGCAGAGAGCTGGATTGGAAGTAGAGCAACTGGGTCTCAAACAGGCGTCCATATGGGATGCCAGCATTGCAGGTGGTGGCTTTACTTGCTACGCCACAGCATCAGTCCCATTACCAATTTTTTTTTTTTTTTTTTTTTTTTTTTTGGGACAGGCAGAGTGGACAGTGAGAGACAGAGAGAAAGGTCTTCCTTTTGCCATTGGTTCACCCTCCAATGGCCACCGCGGCTGGTGCGCTGTGGCCGGCGCACTGCGCTGATCCGAAGGCAGGAGCCAGGTACTTATCCTGGTCCCATGGGGTGCAGGGCCCAAGTACTTGGGCCATCCTCCACTGCACTCCCTGGCCACAGCAGAGAGCTGGCCTGGAAGAGGGGCAACCGGGACAGAATCCGGCACCCTGACCGAGACTAGAACCCGGTGTGCCGGCGCCGCAAGGCGGAGGATTAACCTAGTGAGCCGCAGCGCCGGCCACCATTTCTTTTACTGAACAAAACTGCTCAGCCACAATATAGGTCAATACCCACTCCTGGTATCACTTGGCCAATAGGATATGGTCTTGAGATAGCAGGGTAGGAAGAAAATAAAACCCAAACACAAGCAATTGTCATTATAATATGTATAGTATATACTAACTTAAAGAGGAAAAATTGGAAACAAAATCAAAGTCTAGGAGGAAATGGCATTTTTCTTTCATCTTTAATCAAAGTTGTTTGTAGTTTAATAATTCATTTACACCAATATGTCTGAGGTTTTAAAAAGCCATCCCCGACAAATGAACACATAGACAAGGTGACTCCACAGTTAAACAAAGGAAACAATACTAAAAAGCTAAGGTGGGGTCAGCACTGTGGCGCAGTGGGTTAAACTGCCATTGAATCCCCTGTGGGCACTGGTTCGAGTCCTGGTAGCTCCACTTCCAAATCCAGCTCCTTGCTCATGCCCCTGGGAATAGTGGAAGATGGCACAAGTCCTTGGGCCCTTGCACCCATGTGGGAGACCCAGATGAAGCTCCTGACTCCCGGCCTTTGCCTGGCCCAGCCCTGGCCACTGTGACCATTTGGGGAGTGAACCAGCAGGTGGAAGATCTCTTTATCTCCCTCTCTATAATTCTTTTAAATAAAACAAATAAATCTTAAAAAATAATCCTCCCTTGAGACTGGTGTTGTTTTATACCCCACCCCTCAACACACACAACCAAAAAAAGTTGAAGGTAAAATCTACATAGCTAGAACTGAATATTCACAGGTAATTTTCTCCAAATGGAAATCTGAGTCATAATTGGTCAGTTTTTGATTAGTTCAATATCATGTCAATAAGCGACTCGGGACTTAATGCAAACATTCTTTACTCAGTTGTATCTGACGAGACCCAAAATCCTACTAAGCTTACCTCTGAGATAATTACCTATTTTTTGAATTCAGAAATAAGTTTGCTTAAGTATCAAGACATAGTTTGTAGATAACACTAGAAGATTGAGTTGTTAAAGTTCTTATCTTTTTTCACCACATAGCACTTACTTTCTACAAACACAGAGGATATGGATACTTTGTAGGAACTCAAAAAGAGACAATCAGACACAAGGCCTGCGGACACCTACACAAGCGCACACCACTCGAGTAGACTGACTCTCCACATCTCCCAAACAGGTTTAAACACACATGGTAACTAACATTTTAAATTCAGAAAGCAGAAATCCTGCTTTGTTTATAAAGCACTGATATTATGAGGTACTTAAAATGCCTGTTAGAATAGTGCACCTGCAGTTCAGAGGTACATTGATTAGGTCCCATTGGGGTTGGGGGGAAAGACATTCAAAATAATAAGCACATTTGTCTAACAGCAAAGAATTCTCCCACTTTTTATTTACTTTAACATACTGATATTTCCATAAACTTGCAAGTGGAAGATAAGCTGTTCAATAAAAGCCATTTCATATATGTAATATGCAGAAATTATTTTAAAAGTCTGTTTACTTAATGGATTCTTTTGGTACTAACAAAAAATTAAAGATACAAATAATTGACTAGAAATAAAATCATCACAAAACTGAAATACACAGGAACTATATATACTTCATTTCAGGAAAACACAGATAATTCTTATTGTGTTAGAAGAATAAAGTACATTTGTTATAGTATACATCATCATATTCCCTTAAAGCAGGGACTATTTAAAGTTCTTAAATTAAGAAGTGTTCAGGCTTACTTCTGTCTGTACATTCAGGAAGAATCTTATCACTGGTTACATACAAGTCTCTCATCATGCAAAACCTGTTGTTTTCAAAGGTCTAATTAAGTCAAACAAACTAACAGTAATTCCATTAGCAAGCTGTAAATTATAGGGGTGGAGAAATTCAGCAGTTGAACTGTATTTCCTGCCTACAGTACTGCCGCTACTCAATCTATTTTCTTCACATATTAGAATAACTAATAGGCATTGATGGTTAAGAATTTCATAAAAGCAAACGACAGAAGATGTAACAGAAAGAAGAGTCCCTAACGTCATGATAATCTTCACAATCCTTTAAGAACTAAAGGATTTTGTATATGTGTGTGAAAAGGAGTAAGAAACACAAGCAGGAGGTTAAGACAGGAATATGAAGGGAATGCAGAGATGGCTACATTACAATTATATGTACTCAGAAAACTGACAGTCTGCCCAGTGTACAAAAAACCAAAATCAAAACCAGAACGCCCAGTGACAACAGATGTTAGTATCCATTTAAGTAGATAATTTATTTGTGGAAAAAGGTTAATTTTGATGAGAAAAAGTTTAGTCCTTTCTTTGCAGATACAAAGAAACTCAATAGGAATTTTAAAATTAATAGACCAGAAACCCCACAGTTACAATCCTTTTCAAATAAAGAGAAAAATCAAGTTGAAGACCAGGATTAAAATATTTTCAGCCTGAATATTTACCAGTCCATATATTCTGTTACTCCAATTGACTTTTGATCAAACACACACACACACACACACACACATATAAACACAACAAACTTTTCATAAGAGCTACTATATCTAGAAGTGACGAAAATAAATTAGTTCCCCTTCTCCCCCAAAAGACATTGTTTAACCTCTAAAGCATAAAAAGCTATATAATATCTTATACAAATTAACCAGTGTTCTTACAAAAGTAATGCAGTTTTGGACTGATGACATTACGCTGTATTTGTGGTGTAGGATTAGGCACAAGAATATATGTATCAGGCATTTTCCATCTAATCAGTCTCTAAGGTTATCATTTAATTCTTGGCAATATATAGTAACTGGTATGTATTTTGGTACTCAAGTCATGAATTATGGAGAACAAGAAGCAGTGTATCATAGTAACAGGGTTTGTATTTGACAAACAACTGCAAGGCTGAAGAACTCTCTTCTATGAACTCTGTGATTTGTTTTGTCGCTGGTCACTTGGAGTAGATCCTGCAAAAAGTAAAACAAAAGTCAATATAATTTGTTGTGTACTGCTAACCAATTAAGATATACTTCATGCAGGGTGACTTAAACTAATATGAATCTGGGTCCCCCCTAAATATTCTAAAGAGAAACACAGGAGTGTACTTGGTTATAGGACAAACAGGTTTCAGGTTGATCCTTTCTGTGTAGAAACCCCAGGTGGAAAACAAAGTGGTTATTATATCTCAGTGTCAGGCACTATGAAAAGATTTTATAAAAATGCGATAGAAAAGGTGGGAATGGGGAAGAGGAGGCTAGGAAAGAGACTGCCAATGCTGAAAAGGTAATAGGTTCTATAGGACATGGAGATTTTAAAATCTTGTAGTTTTAAGGGCTTAAAAAGGGTAGCTAATAAATAAGAAACTTACTTCCCTCAGCCTAATTATGTTGTTTTTCCTACCCTTGTAGATTTCTTTATGATACTAAGTAGGAAATACTCCTATGGTAGGAGTACATCTCTACTGAAGAAAAATCAGGCACTGAGTGAATACAAATTTTAATCATCTAACTTACAAAGAAAAATATAGATAAGTATTGTGCAAGATTTAATGTCTTACAGGCAGAGATGGACAAAAGGCCACAGTTATATTTTAAAAGTCATGGCTTGGGGCCGGCGCCGTGGCTCACTTGGTTAATCCTCCGCCTGCGGCGCCAGCATCCCATTTGGGTGCCGGGTTCTAGTCCTGGCTGCTCCTCTTCCAGTCCAGCTCTCTGCTGTGGCCCGGGAAGGCAGTGGAGGATGGCCCAAGTGCTTGGGCCCTGCACCCCATGGGAGACCAGGAGGAAGCACCTGGCTCCTGGCTTCGGATCGGCGCAGCCAGCCGGCCTTAGCGGCCATTTGGGGGGGTGAACCAACAGAAGGAAGACCTTTCTCTCTGTCTCTCTCTCTCTCACTGTCTAGCTCTCCCTGTCAAATTGAAAAAAAAAAAAAAAAAAAAAAAAAGGTCATGGCTTAAAAAATGGAAAAGAGGGGCCTGAGTTGTGGCGCAGCAGGCAAAGCTGCAGCCTGCAGTACTGGCATTACATCTGGGCACTGGTTTGATTCCTGGGTGCTCTACTTGCAATCCAGCTCCCTGTTAATGTGCCTGGGAAAGCAGTAGAAGATGGCCGAAGTTCTTGGGCCCCTGCCACCTAAAAGTGGGAGACCTGAATGAAACTCCTGGTTCCTGACTTCAGTCTGGCCCAGCTCTGGCCATTGTGACCATTTGGGAAGCAACAGGGCAATGAAGATTCTCTCTGTAACTCTGCCTTTCAAATAAATACATCAATCTTTTTTAAAAAAGAAATTGAAAAGAAAGGACAGGACAGGACAGGACTGGACAGGAAAGCACTGGTGCAGGTGTAAATTTCCAGCAGCAAGAGGGGTATTCATAGTCTTACCATTGTCACTAAGAGTTAATGTCGGAAGTCTGAATAGAAATTGATGAAAAGTTGAAACTATTCACTTGAATACACCAAAAGAAACCATAAGGACACGGGTAAAATAGAAAACAAAGACTCCAAGGCAGTTATATGGGAGATATAGGTCATCTAAAAATGGATTATATATTTTTAAAAGGCAGACAGACATGTAATAACTACTACTTAACATGAATAACCAAAAATATTATAATCTGACACTATTATGAGTCAGTGACTCACCAGTTTGTATCACAGAATTACTCATATTTCATACTATGCTCACCAGGACAATAACATGATAGTTTACTTTCCTAAGACTTAACCATTCTCAGCGTCATAAATAAAGTAAGTTGCACCACCAACGAAAAGCATCAGTGTTTAAATATGAAGAGTAGGTAATAAGCTTAAAAAGTCATTAGTGGTAAAGAAGATTCACCTTCAGAATAGTAAATAAGTAAAATCTACTTCCTATGACTGGGAAAGAGTCGCTACAAAGGGCTGGTTTTCAAAAGACTTAAAAAAAATCACATAGACTGCCAATCCAACAGCCAAGAGAATTAACATTGGAAAGATATGACATGCTCTCCAACTAAAGGGATGTAAAAGAAATCTTTCACATTAAATATCTGTTGCTGGGATGGACACCAATGTAGCAAAGACATCTGCATCCCATATCAGAGTGCCTGGGTTTGATTCACCACTCGGCCTCCTTATTCCCCACTAACATAGACCCTGGGAGGCAATGATGATGGTTCAATTAACTGGGTTCCTGCCACCCATATTGGAGACTTGGAAGGAATGCCTGGCTTTGGCCTGGCACAGTCTTGGCCCTTGTGGGCATTTGTGGAATAAATCTGTGGATGGGAGCTTTCTGTCTCTTACATAAATAAAAAATGAAAACAAAAACTCCATCATGTTTCTTTTAAAAATTTTAAGTTTTCATTAGATCATTATGACAAAATATGACCTGAAAACATTTAAAACAAACTACAATTTAAAGATGACAGATATCCTTGTCCAAAGCCAAGTAGATCATAAAACAAAGCCACATACTATAACATATGGTCTTAAGTTAACAAATACTCTTTAAAAACTTTTTTGAAATTTGCCACAGGAGTTGAAATTTTAGAAACATTCAGCATCACAATAAAATATGAGTTTTCTCCTGCAATTTTAAATCAAATTATATCTAAGACGGAGAGGATCAAAAGTCTCAGTGATACTTTCAAAACATCAAACCTTGATTTGATTCTTCTGTATTCATGCTTTCTCCATCTGCAGTCTCTGACATTTCTTCATCTTCCTCATCATCATGTAGGTCTTTCGAAATTAACTGTCTAGCTAATTTAATATTTAGTCCTTCATTGTAGTGAAGCTTCCTTTTCATTTCAAATTGTCGCTTTTTTTCTGTAAGATACCAAAAAAACAAGCTCAGAAAGTCTCAGCTCAAGAGACTAAGTTTTACTGGGAAAGTCATGTTTGTTTTCATCATGTTTAATGCTGTTTTTGTGCTCAATGGCAGAGTTAAGTAGTTTGCAAAAACACTGCAGACAACAAAATCTAAAATATTACTACCTGGTGCTTTACAGAAAAGTTTGCTAACTGCTGCTTTAAATTGTTCAAGTGTATCTCAAGAGAAGACAGGAGTAAGAGTTGTTAACGCCCTGGCCTGGGGCGTCAGCATCCCACACGGATGCCAGTTCTAGTCCCGGCTGCTCCACTTGCAATCCAGCTCTCTGCTATGGCCTGGGATAGCAGTGGAGGATGGCCCAGGTACTTGGGCCCCTGCACCCACATGGGAGAACCGGAGGAGGCTCCTGGCTTCGGATCGGTGCAGTTCTGGCCGTTGCAGCCAATTGGGAGTGAATCATAAGAAGGAAGACCTCTCTCTCTCTCTCTCCTCTCTCCTCTCTCTCTCTCTGTGTAACTCTGACTCTCAAGTGAAAAATAAATAAATCTTTAAAAAAAAAGAATTATATTTGAGATAGAATTTAAATATATTTCCTCATCAGGAGTTGAATGGGGGAAAAAAAGCATGTTATAATACCATATACATATTATGTACAAAGCCTGTACACATACATATACAAGCACATATGCAAAATACTAAACAACAATTAACAGTGGTTAATTCTAGGTCAAGAACTATATCATAGTTTTAATATATAAACAGGAGGTCGGTGCCATGGTGCAGCGGGTTAAGCCCTGGCCTGAAGCACTGGCATCCCATATGGGCGCTGGTTCTAGTCCCAGCTGCTCCTCTTCTGATCCAGCTATGGCCTGGGAAAGCAGTAGAGGATGGCCCAAGTCTTGCACCTGAGTGGGAGACCCAGAAGAAGCTCCTGGCTCCGGATCAGCCCAGCTACAGCCATTGCGGCCATCTGGGGAGTGAACCATCAGATGGAAGACATCTCTCTCTCTCTTTCTCTCTCTGCCTCTTCTCTCTCTGTGTAACTCTGACTTTCAAATAAATAAATAAATTCATATATATATATATATAAAAAAACAGGAAACATTCTCTCATGTACATAGCAGACTTATATAATTTTTAAGTAGTGACAAGTGGGGCTTGTATTGTGGTGGAGAGGGTTAAGCTGTTGCCTGTGACACCAGCATCCCATATGGGTCCCGGCTGCTCCACTTCTGATTCAGCTCCCTAATAATGTATCTGGGAAAGCAAGGGAAGATCTTGATAGAGTTCTAGAATCCTGGCTTTGGCCATGCCCAGTTCAAGCTTTCATAGCCATTTGGGGAATAAACAAGCAGATGGAAGATTCTAACTCTGCCTTTCAAATAGCAAATAAATAACTAAAGTGACAAAGCACTGAGTTATAATTCCTTATTTGCAAAGATCTCTGATTTCCAATAAAAAGCTGATCTCATAGAAGCAGAGAGTACAACAGTGGTTACCAGAGCCTGGGGGTGGTTTGAGAATGTTTGGAGGTAAGATGGAGAGAGTTGGTTAACAGGTATAGGTGTGGGTTTCATTTCAGAAAAAATTTCGAGTTTTCTGCGTAGTACTAAGGGCAGGCACCATGGCCGCCCTCAGACCCCTGGTGAAGCCCAAGATCGTCAAAAAGAGGACCAAGAAGTTCATCCGCCACCAGTCGGACTGCTATGTCAAGATTAAGCATAACTGGCGGAAACCCAGAGGTATTGACAACAGGGTGCGGAGAAGATTCAAGGGCCAGATCTTGATGCCCAACATTGGCTACGGGAGCAACAATAAGACCAAGCACATGCTGCCCAGCGGCTTCCGGAAGTTCCTGGTCCACAACGTCAAGGAGCTGGAGGTGCTGCTGATGTGCAACAAATCCTACTGTGCAGAGATTGCTCACAACGTCTCCTCCAAGAACCGCAAAGCCATTGTGGAGAGAGCGGCCCAGCTGGCCATCAGGGTCACCAACCCCAACGCCAGGCTGCGCAGTGAAGAAAATGAGTAGGCGGCTTGGGTGCGCATTTTATTTGTGTTTAAATAAAACCTTAAAAACCGGAAAAAAAAAAAAAAAACAGGTACAGGTGTACAGTTTGATAGGAGGAATAAATTTTTAATGTTTTATAGCATAGGATAACTATGGCTGATGACAGCAATATACTTCAAAATAGTTAGTAGAGAGGATATTTTGAATGCTCCCATCCCAAAGAAATGATAAATGTCTGAGGTGATAAATATGCCAATTACTCTGAGGTGATCATTACACACTGTATAAATGTACTGAAATGTCATACTCTTTCCCATAAAAATGTATAATTGTAATAAAATATATTTTAAAAAGGATTTCTGATTTCCCTTTGTGTTTTCAATGTTTTAATATACTTTTTGTAGATTTATTCTTTTCTCAATATGAGCCAGTGTTTTTCGAACTGTGTATGACTCTTTAGAAAGTTACAACCAACAATCAAAAAGATGAAAAAAAAATAGATTAGAATGCACCACAGAGAGTAAAAGTGAGTGATGTTTTGTGAAATTTTTACTTTTATAATTTTTTAAAAATTTATTTGACAGAGTTACAGAGAGAGGTAGACACAGAGAGAGACAGAGAGATCAATCGATCTCTGAATCCGCTGGTTCACTCCCCAAATGGCTGCAATGGCAGGAGTTAAGCCAATCCGAAGCCAGGAGCTTCTTTCGAGTTTACCACGTTGAGTGCAGGGGCCCAAAAACTTTGGCAACCTTTTACTGCTTTCCCAGGCCGTAGCAGAGAGCTGGATTGGAAGTGGAGCAGCTGAGACTTGAACTGGTTCCCATATGGGATGCTGGCACTTCAGGCCAGGGCTTAACCTGCTGCACCACGGCACCGGCCCCTATTTTTATAATTTTATATGTGACGTATGTATACTGAATGTGACTTGGTCAAAAATATTTTCAGAAAACTTTGAAGCACACTGGAATAAGTCCTAAAAACTGAATAGCTCGGCCGATGCTGCGGCTCACTAGGCTAATCCTCTGCTTGCGGCGCCGGCACCACAGGTTCTAGTCCTGGTTGGGGCACTGGATTCTGTCCCGGTTGCTCCTCTTCTAGTCCAGCTCTCTGCTGTGGCCCGGGAGTGCAGTGGAGGATGGCCCAGGTCCTTGGGCCCTGCACCCACATGGGAGACTAGGAGGAAGCACCTGGCTCCTGGCTTCGGATCAGTGCAGCGCACCGGCTGCAACGCGCCGGCTGTAGCGGCTACTTGGAGGGGTGAACCAACGGAAAAAGGAAGACCTTTCTCTCTGTCTCTCTCTCTGTCTAACTCTGCCTGTCAAAAAAAAAAAAAAGCAAGCTTCTGGTATGCTTGTATATTGTCATATTGCCAACAATCCTAAAAAATTTTAGAGCTCTCAATTTAGAAATCAGAAAACTGAGGCTTAGAGAAATTAAGCAAATTAGCCAAGTAAAATACCTAGAGCTCAAACTTAGACTTGTCTAACTCCATACACAATAATTTGAGTTTAGCAATTAAAATTTTTTTTCTAGGGTTCTTTACTGTCAATAAATGATTTTTCAGATTTAACTGTTTAAGGCAAAAAAAAAACCACACATGTAATTCATTAGTCAAATGACTCCCTCTTTCGGCTGACTCTGGAACTGTAACTTGAATAACAATTACCCTAAAAGCTGACAATACAGGTTAATAATATTTTTTTCTCAGTAAATCTTAATTTTAGAGAATAATGAGGAAACACACTCTACAAACAATTTTCATTTTACAATCTTTCCAAAGACTCTTTCCCTCAGAAGATATTTTGGGAAAATAGGGCAGGAAGTCACTGAGAGTAGATAAGATAATAACACAAGGTGAGAATATGCTACATGTAAAATTTCTATCATACAAATATTATGCTCAGAATATCAGTTTTGTTGAACAGACTATATTCTTAAGATTTTAGGCAATAACAGCAAATTATACCTCGGTAGCCATGTATGACAAAGATCTTGATAGTTAACTAGCAAATATTTGGAGTCTTAGCTCTCAAGTGTCTGAATTTCTTCCCAGTACAGGTAGTCCCCACATTGCAAAGCTTTTAAGTATAATTCTACTTTCTTCTTTTTCGTGTGTGTTTCTTCTAGCATTTCCCCTATAGAGAAACTTAGTTGTTTTTTTTTTTTAATAAAAAATAATTGAAAACAAACTGTACATAGTCGTTCCTTGGTACCCACCCACTGGGGAATTGGTTCTAGGATCTCCTGCAGATTCCAAGATCTACAGAATCCCTTGCATAATTAGCAGAAGGTAGGCCAATGACGTATCAACTGTTAACTGAAGGACAGGGACTGGAGACTAACAAAACAAAAACCCTTGTTACGTAGGCAACAAAAGGATCGAGGAAACAGAATTTGTTTACCTTGGGATGATAACCTGGGACCCGACCCTTTCCAATGGAAATCTCCAATATTTTGAAAAACTCAGAAGTAAGGAGTGTGCAAGGATGCTGAATGTTTTAAAATGAAAGGATGAGCGAATGAAGCTTAAAAACACACCACATTGGAAATCTGTTACAGCAAGTAGCCGCAGCTGCAGACAGCGGCTCTGTTAGGGAGCTAAGTAAGCGCTGACTTCACAGAACACCCTAACACTGGTAATCTTGGAAAAGAGAAACATGGACTTACTTGCTTATAAAAACAACAAAAAAAAGCTGTCTCTTCCCAAGAGAGGCTAGAAATTAGTTTGTCCGTTGGCTAGTACCAACTGACTGGTCTGGGAGATGAGAAGGGACTGGATTCAGTGGCGGTGCTTTATTGTAAAAGGCAGCTTGGCCATTGCTACAAGGAGAAAGATGGAGTCTGGTTGTCAAGCCCCACCTCAACTGCATTTTTGAAATGTCACATTGTAAGTGTGCCGGCTAGAAGAATGGTGAAGGATTTGTATAGTCTGTGAATGAGTGTGTAAGAGTGAGGCAATAGCCATATTCTCAACTTCAAGCCATTGCAATTTCTTTTTCTCAGGAATCAAGGGGTTAGATATTGCATTTCATAAAACTAACAGGTTCTGTCTAGGGAGGATGTTAAGAAGAAAAAAAAGTGAGGAAAGATGCTCTTTAGGTTTTGTTTTAAATTATTCTAGAGTAACATTGACAAATGGTCAGAGCTCCTATTCTGGTCTTTTCATCAAGGCCACTTCTCTAATACAGTCCAGATCAACTGTGAATGCAGAAGTGCAGTTAGAGGATGCAGAAAGACAAAAGTACAATTATTATAAATAAAGCATACAACTTCAAAACCAAAATGGCATAGTATTTGCAAATAACCTTCCTACATCTTCTGATATATTTAAAGCCATTCCTAGATTACTTATAAAATGCAATACAATGCTATGTAATTAGCTGTGCTTATACTGTATCACTTAGGGAATAAGCACAAGAAAAAAGGTCTGTGCGTATGGTGTTCAATGAAGACACTATTCTGTTCTTACCAGTTTTGATCTGAGGTTGTTGAATCTGAGGATGCATAGAGGCTGACTACACAATTTCAAATTCTGGAGATTATACATTCACTTGGTTAGAACAGCACAAAAAGCAACAAAGTAACACATGCTCCTCTCCCTGCCTCCTCAATGCAACCACCACTACTTGTGAGAACAGAAACCATTAGTGGGGAGCAGTGCCTTAAACTGCACATGAGGCCGGCGCCACGGCTCAATAGGCTAATCCTCTGTCTTGCGGCGCCGGCACACCGGGTTCTAGTCCCAGTCGGGGCGCCGGATTCTGTCCCGGTTGCCCCCCCCTCCAGGCCAGCTCTCTGCTATGGCCTGGGAGTGCAGTGGAGGATGGCCCAAGTGCTTGGGCCCTGCACCCGCATGGGAGACCAGGAGAAGCACCTGGCTCCCAGCTTCGGATCAGCGTAGTGCGCTAGCCGCAGCGCACTGGCCGCGGCGGCCATTGGAGGGTGAACCAACGGCAAAAGGAAGATCTTTCTCTCTGTCTCTCTCTCTCTCACTGTCCACTCTGCCTGTTAAAAATTTAAAAAACAAAAAAAATTTAAAAAATAAATAAACTGCACATGAGCCGTATGGGCTACCAGATCCTCTCTGATGCGTTACAGAGAGGGCTCTATTTCACTTTCTATGGCACTACTCCTCTTTTTCTTCTAATAAAGCTGTTTACTCTACATCTGACCATCTTGGTTCATTTGATTAATTGCATCACTGTCCTACAACAGAAAAAGCAAAAGCAGTGAGAAAATTAGCTCTTAACAGTTATCCACATCCACTTCAAGACCATATAAACACTCAATCTAAAGCACTAAATCAGTACTTACTGAATATCTACTCCATACCAAGCACCATAAAGGACAAAGACAAGAATACTTATAATCATTTTGAAGATGGCAGTATATCCCCAAATTCCTGAAATTGGGAGGTGGAGGGGAGAAACCCTCATAAAATAGAATCTGAATGATAACAACACTGCTTTTCATTTTCCTACTAACCTCCCCACCTTCCCGCCCAAATGAAAACCACTTGCCAATCTTTCAGATAACGGATTTATTTCAGCAAAACTTAATAGCACCATATCGCAAGCAATGAACAAAATAAATTCACTACCTCGTTCTTCGGGTGAGAGGTCACTATCCTCCTCTCCACTGCTTTCCTGTTCCCGAATCCGATACTTTGGCTCTGAGCCTTCAGCCGCAGCCAATCTATACAACAATCATTTGCAAGGAAATTAACATTTTGATATTCTTATATTATTTATCTCAGTCAACTTCTGAATGTCATAAAAACACCTAAAGATTATTGATTTGCTAGCAATAACCTAAAGAGGAAAACAAAAAGCAAGAGAGTAAGAAGGGGTTTAAAAACCAATAAGCAACAAGAAGAATGGACTGGGTACAAGAAATCAATGAACAGCAAAAGAATATTGTTTTATGAACTTTTCTTTCAGCTTTTTTGCTTTTATCTTCAAAATGTGGGTGGCGGGATATTAAACACACACACTCACTCACTCACTCACAGAGGAAACTGACATATCTTAGTATCCCAGCTTCAGGTACTACAATCTTCCTGCCACCTGCATACCCTGATTGTAATCAAGAAACAAGACTATAAAAGTTGGTATGAAAATAATCTAGATTAACATGGTCTTTGATTTGCACTTGTACAACTAATGTTTTCAACTCAGCACAATTAAAACAGCATAAGTGACAATGCTTTATAGTCAGCAGTGCTTACTTCTTAGCTAAGGTGTCTGGAGTCATGGCTTCAGTGGTTTCTGTATCGCTGTATGCATCATCATCATCACCTATCATACTAAGAAGGCAAGCACAATGTAATTAATACAATTATTTAACCAGAAAAATAAGACAAAAAATGTAATTCTATCAATGTAATTAAAATATCAATATGCTTACTGTTATCATCTTTGAGGTTTAACTTTAAATCATTTCTATTCAATACAAATATTTAAAAGTATAGCACCAATCAAGAAAAGGGCTCCAACTGATTAAAAACAAAATACAGTAGGCATTTTGGCTTGGCAGTTAAGATACCATTTAAGATACCCACATCCATGTGGGAGTGCCTGGGTTCAATACTGGCATCTGGTTCCTGATACCAGCTTCTTGCTAATGTAGTTCCTGAGAGTTTCAAATGGTTGGGTTCCTGCCACCTTTGTTGGAGAGCTGGATCCAATTTTTAGTTCCCAGCTTCAGCAAGGGAGCTGCTATGGGCATTTGGGGAGTGAACAGGTACCTGCCTTTCAAATAAATAAATTTAAAAGTATATTAAAATACTAATAATCCAACCAAAAAATAAACACAGAAAATTTGAAACATCTGAAAAAAATAAAAATACTAACAAGTTTCAATTATTCCATCTAGCGGGAGAAAACAAGTAATGCAAAATAAACCACTGCCTGGTTTTAGAATATATCTGTCTTTCAGCCTTAAGATAGAGGCAAATTATCTATCTAGATATAAGAAATAGGTAAAATAGGGCCAGTACTGTGCGTAGCAGGTAAAGCTGCCACCTGCAATGCTGGCATCCCATATGGGCACTGGTTCAAGTTACGGCTGCTTCACTTCCAATCCAGCTTGCTGCTAATGTGCCTGGGAAAGTGGTGGAAGATATCCAAGTGCTTGGGCCCTTGCACCCACATAGGAAATCCAGAAGAAGCTCCTGACTCCTGGCTTCTGTTTGGCCCAGCCCTGGCCATTGCAGCCTTTTGGGGAGTGAACCAGCGGATGGAAGATCACTCTCTCTCTGTTCCTCTCTCCGCGTAACTCTTTCAAATTAAATATATCTTTAAGAAAAAATAAATAAAAGAGAAATGGGTGAAAAAAACAAAAAATTAGATCCAAAGGACCTGAGCTTTCCCTCTCTATTTGCTAATACAAAGTTGTTCTCCAGTTTTCTGTAAAGGCAGGGCGGGCACCATTAATCTTTAAAGCCACTGAAAGGTATACAAAGCAGAATCGAAATACTTTGTATGTTTCCTGGTTAATCAAGACAAATTAAATAAGGCTATAGTTTAGAAGATGCTATTTTTTTCCCAAGGGAAGTTGAATAAATGCCTAAGCATTACTTGATTTAATTAAAGCAATTCAGGTAAAATAAACATATTTGTTAATTTGTTCTAGGTTATCCTATAAAATTTACAGAAGACTTGTATGTGTGCTTGTATATGTAAATAAAAGCAATAACTTTTTATACTAACAGTGTAAGATTCTTATGTAGTATTATACAATCTTTCTATAAAACGCATCTTCTGATAAATGAAAAAAAAAAAAAAGCCATGGAAGGAATGGGAAAACTGAGCACTGAATTGATAAAAACTGAGAAGAAATGTCTTTACGTACTTTATCCTCAATTATATAGGGTCTAAAATAACTTCAGCAAGTCTTAGAATAAGGATATATTTGGGGGCAGAGTAGAGAAGCAGTATCAAATATCTCTCATTCATATTTATTATGTCTTAACTATTAACAGTCAAAAAAAATCATGGCTGCAACTATGTACAACTAACACAGACAAACATAGGATAGCTACCACATTTACCCCGATTTTGGATTCTGGTACAACAGAGGCTTTAAGATAGTTTTTTTGTTGTTGTTGTTGTTTGTTTGTTTTTTTCTTTTTGACAGGCAGAGTGGACAGTGAGAGAGAGAAAGACAGAGAGAAAGGTCTTCCTTTGCCGTTGGTTCACCCTCCAATGGCCGCCGCGCTGCAGCCGATGCACCGCACTGATCCGATGGCAGGAGCCAGGTACTTATCCTGGTCTCCCATGGGGTGCAGGGCCCAAGCACTTGGGCCATCCTCCACTGCACTCCCTGGCCACAGCAGAGAGCTGGCCTGGAAGAGGGGCAACCGGGACAGAATCCGGCACCCCGACCGGGACTAGAACCGGGTGTGCCGGCGCTGCAAGGTGGAGGATTAGCCTAGTGAGCCATGGTGCCGGCCTTAAGATAGTTTTAAAGTATATACCTGTGATTGGGAAAAAAATATCGATAAACTTTTTCATAAATATGTATATTTCTTTCCTCAAATTTCATTAGCATTGAGTCTCATCATTTGTATCTATTTGGTTATTCATTTCTACCTTTGTCACTATCTTTAATATCTTTATTCTTTTAAAATTGTTTTGATAGTATCAAGTTATCTCAAATTAGCTTCCAAAATTTTCATTCACTGATTTTAAATTCAGTATGGGGGCCAGCACTGTGGTGCAGCAGGTTAACACCCTGGCCTGAAGTGTTAGCATCCCATATGGGCACCGGTTTGAGACCTGGCTGCTCCACTTCTGATCCAGCTCTCTTCTATGGCCTAGGCAATCAGCAGAAGATGGCCCAAGTGCTTGGGCCCCTGCACTGGCCCAGCAGACCCAGAAGAAGCTCCTGGCTCCTGGCTTCGGATTGGTGTAGCTCTGGCTGTTGTGGCCAACTGGGGAGTGAATCAGCGGATGAAGACCCCTCTCCCTCTCTCTCTCTGGAAGACCTCTCTCTCTCTCTATCTTTCTCTCTCTGCGTAATTCTTTAAAATAAATAAATAAAAATTTTTTAAAAATTCAGTATGTAATTCTATTTTAATGGTAACTTCTGGATATATGTTGTCTTACTTTAATGACAAAATATTTTAGTCCTGTAAATCTGTGGATTTCTTTTAATCTTTTTAAAATTTTTTTAAAATTTTTAAGGTAGAAATCTGTTTGTAGATACTATTTAGAGCATAATCTTAGTTAATTCTACTTATTTCAAATTTCCATCCTATAAAGTTTATTGGTGCATTTTTGTCTTCTTAAACAATTTACAATTCATTTGAAAAATTTTGAAACTCAAAACTACCAAAAATCATGATGAGAGTATCTGAACCATAACATTACATAAATTCAAAAATAGAAACATGGAATAGTAGTAATGACCACCTGTCTTTCAGAGGGTTAAAAAGAGTTACAGTCCATGCTAGTATTTTTTTCTAAAGAGAATGATTTCCATTCAGGAAGCAAACAAGCCTAAATCTCCTCCTTCCTCTTTAGGAAGGCAAAACTCATTAAACAGTATGCATCATGAGCAGCTAGCAACCACTGAGGTACAACAAAAATAAATGTTTGATACTATAATTATAATGCACAAAACAGATTCCATAATTTTAAAGTTATACATTACTTACACTGTCATTTAGAAATTATGCAGAATATTAACTAGTGGTATAGTAACAAATATAAAATAAAAATTTCCAATCAGCTGTTATCCAGAAGCTGCTATCAATGCAATAGGGAAAACAAATCACAAAAAGAATAACTTCTATGTAACATTACCTATGGTAAGGAGTGCTTGGTTCATCTATTTTCATTAAACCATAGTCTTTGTCTGCTGGATGATAGGTTGCCAGGATGTTCATTTCATCCCACTTCTGTGATTTTTTACTAAAATTAAAACAGAAAACATTACTCAATGCAGTAAAAAATAAAATGCACATCTAAAATTTATTAATGTCCAAATTCCATATTTCAACTTCTATTTGACTACAGCCCTCTATATATTTTTACATATGGTGAAAGCCCGAAATAATATGCTATAATACAAGAACATTTAATGCCTATGTAGTAAAAATATTCAGAATCTCTATCAAGCATTTAAAACACTACTAAGGTATACTTAGTCTTTATTTGGCCTATATAATTAAAAACTAATATTGGCATCTACACATTGTCTTATCTCAGTAGTTAAGGATTTCTGACCTACAGTATACCAGTAATAAAAAAAAAAAAAAAAAAAAAAAAAAAAAAAAAAAACAAGAATATTTCCTTGGCACAATTTCTTCAGAGATATCTATAACAATTGTAACATAAGCAATTAAGAACATAAAACTACAACAAAAACTGTATTAAATTCAGATTACCACTAAATAATTAGATCACAAAAATTACAGCTCCGCCAGCGCTGTGGCTCACTTGGCTAATCCTCTGCCTGCGGCGCCGGTATCCCAGGTTCTAGTCCCAGTTGGGGCGCCGGGTACTATTCCCAGTTACTCCTCTTCCAGTCCAGCTCCCTGCTGTGGCCTGGGAGGGCAATGGAGGATGGTCCAAGTGCTTGGGTCCCTGCACCTGTACAGAAGACCGGGAGGAAGCACCTGGCTCCTGGCTTCGGATCGGCATAGTGCCAGCCGTTGCAGCCATTAGGGGAGTGAACCAATGGAAGGAAGACCTTTCTCTGTCTCTCTATTAACTCTCTGTCTCTCTCTCTCTCTCTCACTGTCTAACTCTGCCTGGCCAAAAAAAAAAAAAAAAAAAAAAAATATATATATATATATATATATATATATATTGCTCAGTTTATTTTTTATAGAAAACCAGGGTTTGTGGAGCCAGCATTGTGGTACAGAGGGTAAAGTTGCCATCTGCAGTGCCAGCCTCCCATATGGGCACCGGTTTGTGTCCCAGCTACTCCACTTTAAATCCAGCTCCCTGCTAATGGCCTGGGAAAGCAGGAAGATGGCCCAAGTACTTTACCCCTGCCAACCATGTGGGAGACCCAGAAGAAGCTCCTGGCTCCTGGTTTTGGCCTGGCCCAGCACAGGCCACCATCTGGGGAGTGAACTAATGAATGGAAGCTCTCTGTCTCTCCCTGCTTCTCTGTAACTCAGACTTTCAAATAAAGAAAGAAAAGAAGGGTTTGCTAAGAAATGGTAAACTCAGGGGTTGGCCTTGCAGTGCAGCACTTTCTTGCCGCTAAGGATGGCCTACACAGGTATTTCACATGTGACTAAGACAATTCCCACTTCTCCCAAAAAAACAATGTTAGTAGTTGCCTAAAGACTCTTTACCATGAAACAGTCAAAATCTTAAAACACTTACTTGAAGCTAAAAACTAAGACATGGGTCATTATTTTTAGGCATGGAAACATTTCTACTGCATTGTTAGTCATTTAGCATGAAAACTCCTAAAGGTATCCACCCAAGTCACCTGAATTTTCACTAGTCAAACTAAAATGTCTCCAAGGTCCACAAAACCTCACTTGATTAAACTAGCCTGGATAAACAGACCTTACTTTAACAGTACTGATTCTTCAGTTGCCCGGGCTTTTGCCTATCATACTAATAGCTGATTTTGTGGCAGGAAACAAAAAATATAAATTAATTGAGAGACAGATATTTTACATTACAGTTACCTTTCACTAGTCCCAATTACCACAAACAAATCCAATAAACACCCTCTCTTGGGTTATATCTACATGGAAATTATGATAAAATGGGGTTTTAATAATAGTCTTCCTTATGATTTAGTGTTAAGAGAATCAACTGAAATAATGTCTGTGAAACAAAATTATAAAAGCACCATGCAAATATAAAGGAGTTTTTTATTTTTATTTAACAGATAGAGTTAGATAATGAGAGAGACAGAGAGAAAGGTCTTCCTTCCGTTGGTTCACCCCCCAAATGGCCGCTACAGCCAGCGCTGCGCTGATCTGAAGCCAGGAGCCAGGTGCTTCCTCCTGGTCTCCCATGCGGGTGCAGGGGCCCAAACACTTGAGCCATCCTCCACTGCCCTCCTGGGCCACAGCATAGAGCTGGACTGGAAGAAGAGCAGCTGGGACTAGAACCCGGTGCCCATATGGGATGCCGGCGCCGCAAGGTGGAGGATTAACCAAGTGAGCCACAGTGCCAGCTCCTATAAAGGAGTTTTTATGACTTTAAAATTCAAAGTCTTGGGCTAAAAATATTAAAACAAGATCTCACTTAGCATTATAGGGATTGGGTTCAGATATGGCTTTCTAAAAAAAATTTCAAATTGCTTTTTTACTGAATTCCTTCTACTTTTGCCCTATAAGATTCAAAATCTAAATGATGATGAAACATTTAAGAACTGACACAGAATGAGCATTTCTAAAAAGCAATCAGTTCTCTACTTCAGTTAAATCTAGTTTCATAAATTTTATTTTACTAAAGAGCCCTATTACTTATAAATTTTTGTAAACTCAGGGGTGGGCATTTGATGTAGCAGTTAAGAGCACACCTGGAGCACCTGGACTGAACTCTTACATTGATTCCATTCTGCTTTCTGCTAAAGCACACACTGGGAGGCAGCAGGTGATGGCTCAAGTAATTAGGTCCCTGCCACAGAAGTAGAAGACCTGGATTGGGTTCCCAGGTCCTCCTGGCTTCGGTCTGGCACACCCCAGCTGCTGCGGCCATTCGGGAGAGTGAACCAGCTGATGGAAGATTTCTCTCTCTCCCTCTCTCTTTCCATCTGTCACTTTTCCTTTCAAACAAATAAATTTTAAGAGGAGAAAAAACAGGCTCCCCAAAATGCTATCAAGTCTTAGGTAGAAAGTTAGTGAAGTTTCAAGACACTGGCAGCAGAAGACATTGGAAATGAAAATTAGAATTAACATTAGCAGTTAAGTAACAAAATCCATGGAGTGAGCCTGAGCTTTTAATATCAATACCATCATGAACTGAATGACCTTCTTTAGGCCAGTATCTCCACAGACAAAAATAGAGGCACCAGCACTACGTGGCAGATCTGCTGTGATGGTGAAAGCACCTGCTGGTTTCAATGTCCACCCACCCCCTCCAAACCTACCCCCCTCCCCCGGAGTGATTGGTTTTCCTACAACCTAAATCTGGTCCTCAAAGTCATCACTTCTCACTTTCACTTTGTTAGCTCACATGATGCCATTTCAAAAATCTACACATACTTTTTGTTGCTATGACTTGCTCTTTTGAGTTTTGCCTGTGCCTGGCAAAGGAAGCAGGATTTTTGCTTGAAGGTGATAAACCTTATTGTATATTGCATAAATGGTGCTTTTCTTCCTTTAAATGAAAATTCAACATACATAGGTTGACATAGTATAAGATTTTTGAAGACTGATGCCACTGCCAGTTAAAGACTTAACAGAAGCAATTACAAACAAGTAAAAAGAAAGTTTTGAAAAACAAATTTTATTTTACTCAGTGAGATTCTGACTGTAATCTTCCACACCTCTTTATAGGTAGAGAAAGACAAAGTTGGAGCATGTTTTTAAAAGTATATTAGAGGAAATTAATTCAAACACAAATTTTTCAAGCAGAATTTGCCTGAACTACCTTAGACTACTACAGAATTTGAATTGAGCAGTAGTGGACCCCAGATGGTATAGAACAATCCATTGAGATGTAGGAAAAGTAAGATTCCTATATTTATTTCTATTACAGAAAGACTAATGTCCAAAAGTGAGGCATTGGGCTAAACAGTTTATTAACTCATTTAGTACTTAAACTGAGGAGTATATACACACACATGGAAACACACGCTGAAAAATCCTAATAGTCTGCTATGGCAGACAGGACTCAAACCCAGGCAATTACCCATATTAACCCCTGAAGTGTAATACTTCTCATAAGATAGGCCTTAGTAGAATTTAACATGTTTTCAGTAATTCCAAATGCACATATTTCACATTTCAATATCTCTGTAGAAGAATGTATCTAAAATGGATGGCAACTTATAATCATATTGACAGTATTTCTTTGTTGGTGATACATTTTAGAATCAATGGTTTTTTTGCTTTCAATGAAATACATATACATACTCAAGGTCTGTTAAGTTAAACCTTGAGTTGTGCACTATATTCAAGGTATCCTGAAAGAATGGGAATTCTATACTCAATAGGAGAGGAGACTGGTGTTTCCACTAGATGTGGGTTGCAACGTACTGAGATAATTATGCTAAATTACATGGATTTACAGATTCCATCCAGTTTTAATTTAACCAATCCTTAAGAAATGGTACCTCATAAAATGGCATCTCCAAGGAAATGATACACTGAAAACAACAGTCCTGATGTAATGTACAAAGAGAACACTAATACCAGTAAAGGTAGCATTCATCCTCATTATTCTTGGATTCTCTATTTGCAAATTCACCTGTGAAAATTTATTTGCAACCTAAAAACCAGTATTTGAGGTACCTTAGCATTTGCTTACAGACATCTGCAGAGCAGAAAGAAGTCGGAGTTGCCCACTGTCCGATTCACAGCTGAGGTGGTGTGTTCCTGGGTGGGACCAAAATGTCTTTTCATGATTCCTTTAGGACTTATTTTTTTAAATATTTTTGTTGGTAAATTCGCTATGGTCCCAAGTGAAAAATGCTAACTTCCTAAATTCAAGAAGCTGTAATGTGACTTTCAGGGAAAATAGGGTGACAGAAACTTTGTTCAGGCGTGAGTTATAGTGCTCTTGGCTGAGAATGTAATGTTAATAAACCAACATTATATGTTAAATTTAGTGTCTGAGTAGAAACACAGAAAACAAGGTTATATATTGCACAGTTGATAAAAATGTTGTGGCCAGAGGCTTACAGGAACCTAATCCCATATTTCCCCTAAGAGCAAGGGCTCAGTACTAATTCAATGTATGGGGGACTTCATAGAACATAATTATTACAATTAACAACAGACTTAGACCTCTGGTCATTTTCAAATGAATATCAAATTCTTCACCCTTATACTCTATTCTAACATATCAAGTTAGACTATTACACTATCTCTTAAAGTTTCTAAATCTTAAGTGCCTTGTAATTCCAAGAGTTGTCCATTTTCAGTCCTTTTTATATAAAAAGCATACACATTATAACGTTTGTTTCAAGTGCATTCAACTGTACTTTTGTTTTCACTCAAAGAGGTCCTTATAGTGGCTAACATTGTTTGCATGTACTGTGACATCACAATGTATATTACATGACTAACAGAATTAATTTCTTGGCTTTACAGTCATGTAATACTGACCATGAAAAGCCCATCTCCTTTTACCACTTGGAACCAAACATCATGAACTTCAATAAATGAGAGCTTGGTAGCTCCCTTTGAAGACAACTCTAACTAGACAAGTCAATCAGTCACCCATCTTGCAAAAGTCCCTTTTAAGTGAATCTGTCCTGTTAGTAGCTCCTTACAGTATACAGCCCAAGTGTGGCTGAGTTAGTCTAGTACAGTGGCTTTTGGCAGAAAGTCCTGGATGCAAACCCTAGGCAATTATGGAGACAGGCCGATCCATACAATGGACTCATGGAAAATTAAAACAGATCAAAGGTGAGAATAAGTAGAAGTTAAGGTAGCAGAAAAACAGGAAAAGAATAAATCGCTTGGTTGCAGGACAAAAAGCAGCTCACACTGGAGAATAACAAACTCCAAAGTCAGTGGGACACATCTCCCTGAAGCTACATTAGAGCCTTCTGCAGCTATTTTATTTATCTTTTAACTATCTTGTTCTTCCTATTATAGTTTTGTTCTGGTAAGATTGTTTTCTTAATCCCATGACCTACAACGCATGCGCCTCCCCCACAACCCTCCATTTAAAGTGGCTTACCCCAAACAGGGTTTGGAAAATTGCCTGTGAGAGAATCCAAGATTCAAGCGCCCAAAAGGGAGTGGGGCAGGGAGTTGCTGGACAACCTCAAACCTTGCAACGCTACTAATATTTTCTTCAAGGTAACGCAGGTCACTACACAGTTAATCACCACCAAGCACCAGTTCCTTTTATGGTCCTAAATGAGACCCTTTTTACAGGAACACTCTGGTTCCAATAGTCGAAGAGCTCAGGAACACACTCAGCTTCATGACCACCAACTTCAGTAACTTCAAGCCTTTTTTCCAGAATGCACAATCCTTACATTGTCATACCTTGTAATACCTTAGCCCCTTGCACTTGTGACCCAGGGGCATAGTTTTTATGCTATACTGTAAAGCTTTTTTTCACTGAGCTTTGTACCTTACATATCCTCTTCTGTGCATAAGTGTCCATTTCCCACCTGAAATTGTTCCATTGTACACACATACACTACAATGGGTATTTCCCCAGTTCTTACTGGCGGACCGCGGGTTCTTTCCGATTATTTACTACTACTCAGTGCTTCCCGGCAACATCCTTTCACATGTGTACCTGCAGAGGAGGCTCAAGCGATCAAAATATCACTGGAGCACTTTACGTTGCTCCTCTCCGCACTGGGAGCTTAGTTATGTCTGAACAGGAACAAAAACTAGAAAGCATCGAAAACTCCAGTCGCAGACGCAAAAATAACGAGCAACAAATAGCTTTCCATTAAATATAGATCAAGGACTTAAGAAATCCTGGTTACTCTTAGCGCAGGGCCAATGACAAACCATGAACTGGGAGAGCGGCGTGTGGCCCGATGCTTAATGGGGACATGGTCTCTTTCTTTGAGGTGTCTTTTAACAGCTTGTGCCTAGGACTTAAGAGAGCCCCCAGGGCAAGTAAGCACACTAAGTAATGAAGAATCCTAGATTACCCCAGAGATGAGGCCAAGAAATAACAGGGGAAGCTTTGAAACTTAAAACTTGATTGTTTAAGGTCTCCGATCACATCAAGTTCAAGGATCATGGTTGTTTACCAAACATCATTCGTGTACATACACTTTTTAAAGAGAAGGAAACGGTGAACGTCACGGCTCCTGCCTTCTTTACAGTCACTCCGTCCACTGAGGACCGGAGCCCCGGGCGGTGCCGGGGTCGCGTCCACGCTGCCGCCGCCGGCCCGCACTCGGGTCCCAGGGGTAACGGCGGCGGCGCGCGGCCGCGCGGCCGGGAAGGCGGGGCCCAGGCGCTCCCGGTCTCACCTCAGCTCCTCGTCCACACTCCCGCGGGGCTGCTCGGCCGAGGCCACCCTGGAGGAAGTCGAGGAGGTCTTGTTCTTCAGGATCCCCTTGATGGGCCGGTGCGAGGCCGTCGAGGCCGCCATTGCCGGTAGCTCCGGCTGTCGGCTCAGGGTCGCTGCTGGCGTGGGGTCCGGGAAGAGAAGGGTCGGGCGCTTAGCAGAGACCCGCCAGGCAGCCGCAGAGCCCGCTCGCAGCGAAAGCAGCCGCCCCTGGTGTGGCGGAAACGGCTCCGGGCGTCGCTGTCACCCCGACGCCAGAGCCAACGCCGCCCGGCTGGCGGCCCTTCGCGCGCCCTTCGCCGCCGGCGTTTTACCCGCGGCCCGCGGAGAGAGGCCGGCCTAGAGCCCCACCGCGGGAGCGACGCTGACGCCGAAGCCAAGCAGGCCCGCCCTCTCGCGATATCTAGGGCGGGGCGGGGGCGGGGCGAGAACAAAGCCAACCTCTTAGCCCCGCCTCCTCCGGCCTTCCGCCCTCTCGCCCCTCCCCCGCGGGCCCCGGGCGCTCGTGAGCGCTCCCGCGACCCAGCCGCTGGGCTCCCAGCCTGGCTCTGGGCACACGCGCGTGTCTCACAAGCACCGTCACTCCTAACACCCTTAGTGGCCTCCTGGTTATTTCTGTTTCATGAATCGGCAATCCTAGGTGACGTCACTCCCCAAAGATGTTAGCTCACTTTGAGAGAAATGATGTCTCCTTTTTTCCATTTAACCCGCAAAAAAGGCTTCTCTCTCTCATCAAATCGTAGAATGTTGGCATTTGTATGGTTCCTAGGGACCTACTATGAAGTCACAGGAGTTGCTGACTTTCATGAAATCGTGGAATGGTTGGGCCTCTTTCACCGCTGGAGAGGCTGATGGGCAGAGCCGGGAAGGGCTCAGCGCAGTCGCTCAGCTCCTCCGTAGGCCGGGAGGGCGCAGCGGGGCGAGGGCTCCACGAGCCGGACGCTGGAGCTCAGAGGCCGGGCCTCCGCAGTCGGGGGCCCTTCCGTGTCTCCGGCCGGGCTGTGTCACCGCAGCCCTCTCTCCCCTCCACTCCCGCTCAGGCCCGCCGCGTGCCGGGCAGCAGGGCGGTCTCGGCCGCTCCTCGCTCTTCCTGCAGGCCCCGCACTGTGCTACCCGGCCCGGCCGGCTGCGCGGCTGATGGCGTCCTCCTCGCGCTCTCGCCCCTTTGTCCAGGAACGCTGCCGCCAACTCGCCTCACGGGGCCGGGGCAGGGTTCTCCTCCCTACCGCGCCGCTAGGGCGGCCATCTCACTTAGGTCTCACTCTGCGACCCGACTCGCAGTGCTCTTCAGGTTTTCGGAAAACTGTTTCGATGTTCCGACCCCCAGCCCCAGCTGAGTTCTTGGCAGGGAACAGGACTTCGGCAAGGGAATGAGTGCTGAGTGGAGATAACGGAGGGGAAGTGGGCAGGAAGGGGAGAAGGGAGACGGCTTTGCTAGCCGTGGACCCAGTGCGTTCTCCAGGGATTACCCCCAGGTGGAGGCCTGCACAGCCACCCGGCCCTGGCCCCGCCTCAGTTCTCGGCCAAGTGCCCACCACTGCCCTTTCTTCCTCCCCGGCGGGACCGGCCTGATACCGCTGTCCAGCCCGTGAGGCAGAGACGGCTCTCAGCAGAGGGAAGCAGGATGGCCACCTCCCCTCCCTTCCTGAGGCCTCTCCACGCCGGCTCCCAGTCCCCGTGTTAGCTCTCAGGCCTGCTGGCAGGGGCCCAGGTCAGCGGGGGTAATCCTGTTTCCAGGGAATAGGCAAATGTCCCCTAAGTTAGAAATCATTGAGTAGATTTCCTTTGTTCCTGCGTGGGCCTGACCTTGAACCTGTGCCGGGATCTTTAATTAACTGCAGCCTTGCCTTGAGACTCTGCCGTGAAAAGGACTACCTTTGTATGACATAGCGTGTTTTATTGCAGTTCGTAAGCTAGAAAACATTGAGGAGAGGTGAGGAAGAGTTTCCTGAAGAACCTTGGGAAAATGCTTTCCTCATCAAAGCGCAACTTTTGCCTCTTGTGCTATTTCTTTTACTCCCAACTCTGCCAAAAGTGAACACAGAGGAATAAGATTTCCTTAATACCTAAAAAAGAAAAAAAAATAGTATTCTGACTGCAGGATTGCCAGTGCCGGGACAGCTTTGTCTTGTATTTTGGAACCTAGGTGAACCACTTTATTTCTCTGTGTAGCCCACAGTAAATCCCCAGATGCATCCCAGTGGAGTTCTCCTTCTGTGCCTCTGCCGAGGTATGTTCTTTAGGAAGTCATCAGGATCAGCCAGCCCAAGCACTGCACTTGGCTGTGTTTGTGTTAATTTCCTGTGTGTTCAGAGTTGGGCTGCCAAGAGGTGGACTGTGGGCGGAATCTTCCATTCTGGTTTTGGTTTCTGGACGCAGCTATTGAGCTCAAGGAGTACCATAGATTTAAAAATATGTACATGTTTAAGGGATGTCTGGCAATTGTCTCTGCTTTGTGAAGACTTCCTCATGGTTACCTGAGCCAGGGAGGAGGAGAGGGGATGCTGTTAATGAATTTTCTGTGTGGTGAGCCAGTTGGCTCTCTGTTCACTGGAATGGGTTACGAAGGCCAACCCCACTGGGTTTCTGACCAAGAATGGGATTCCAGAACTGGAAAAGGCTTCCATGCCTGAATCCTCAGCCTGCCTACGTCATCAACCAGAGTTCACTGAATAGGGAAGTGGGTCATGCCCTCACCCCAGCTTCTGGAAAAACACTCAGAGGCTATGACTCAGTGACCACTGAGTCAGCTGCATCACTTTATTTACTAAGAATAGCCACATTGTTATTTTTCTTCTCAGGTAATCCCTCACCAGGACAGGAAGATCATTGATCTTGTAGTGCATTGAAGAAATCCATGGTAGTAAAGGAAAGGGCATTTAAACAAATATGAAAAGTATTAGAGAGAGAGAGAGAGAGCTGAGAACAAGTATTCATAATTTTCTGCTTTAAAAAATGAATTTGATTTAGAACAATGGAACTCTCTCCACTGTTTCTCTTCTATTCAAAGACGTCTCCACAGAGCCCTTCACCTCCCCACAAAAGCCGAAACGCTTTTCTAAGACTCAGACAAATGCACGCCTGGGGTACACAAAGATTTCTTAGTCCCCAGATGTTTTCCTGATCCTCTAGTTTTTAGTTAAATCCAGGGAATCTAGACAAATGCTTTTTTCAAAACTGATGAGACTAAAAGTGGAAAGAAAAAAGAAGGCCAGATAAATAGTGTGATGAGCCTTGGAATGGTAAATAAGAAATGTGAAGTATTTTCTTGGCCAGACTATGAATTTATCTTGTTCCTGCCAGAAATCAGCTTTTTGTGACTGTAAATTTTCTATAACTGTTAACTGGTTTGGTTTGTAAATTATTGCAAGAAGGAAGGAAGCAATGCCATATATTGTAATTTCATTGTGTCACTTTGGCCAAATTCTATTGCATTTTATTATTCTGTGAATTCATACTGGGATAAGCAGTACAGACTTTGATTCAGAATACATGTGATGTTGGTATAAACACTTCATGGAAATATTTAAATAGATTTTGGAGCCTAGCTCATCATTGTTTACAATGGGAAGTCATTTTTACTTATATACTCTACTTATATTCCCTAGCATTTGTCATGTTTCAAATTTCTCAAATACGTAATTTTATTATTTTAATTTGGCTGTTATAAGAGTTTCCAGGCTGACCTACAGTCCTTCACATTCTTTACTGTTCACTTTTCTTCATACTGCTCTCATATTTTAAAAAATTGGATTATGTAATGATCCTTAATTTGTGAATTCCATTCAGCTTCACCACACAAGGTGATGGGCATGGGGCAAACAATTAGACTCTTCCATCTTTTCTATGTTTTGCTTGAGGAACTCAGCCTCCAATGGCTGCTTATGGCCTAAGATAAAGTCCAAATTCCTTGGGCCTTAAACTCTGGCCCTGTTTTTCTATGTTCTTTTTTCTCTTTTTAAAAATATTTTATTTTATTTACTTGAAAGGCAGAGTTGAAGAGAGAGAAAGAGAGAGGTAGAAACACAAAGAGAGAGATCTTCCACCTGCTGGTTCAACCCCCAAATGGCAACAACAGCCAAGCCTGGGCCAGACCGAAGCCAGGAGCCAGGAGCTTCATCTGGGTCTCCCTTGTGTGCACAGGGGCCCAAGCACTTGGGCCATCCTCTACTGCTTTTCTAGGCACACTAGTAGGGAGCTGGATCGGAAGTGGAGCAGCTGGGACTGGAAGCGGCACCCATATGGGATGCTGGTGCTGCACACTATAGGACCCACTCCACAGCGCGTCCCAGGTTCCTTGTTTCACACTGACTTCCTTTCCCCGTGTTCTTCGCGCCAGTTACAGTGCCCTTCCTCAAGGTCCTTCCCTTTTCCAGTTCCCAACCTGTGTGAAATACCAGCCCTGTTGTTGCCCTTTTATGACCCCGTCCAAAGGTCAGCTCCTTCTGGGATTCCAGGCAGGCAGGCAGGCAGTCCTCATGGCGACGAGATGCTGTGGGGCCCTGTCTCTTTAGGCCTCTGTGTGCCCGCAGCGGCCTGTTCAGGAGCAGGCACATCTTCCTCTTCTGCTCCCTGACAGCATAGCTTAATGAATGAAGTATCTGCCATGAGCAACCTTCAGTGTAAGTGTTGGTTCAATCAGGGCTGGGGGACGACTGGCCTGTGAGCCTTATGAGGCCCAGAAAATTGTTTGGTATGGTCCTGCCAAGGTACTCACGGTACTCAAGGTACTCAGTAAATCCATAGGAGACTAACTTCTTTTTTAAAAAAAGATTTATTTATTTATTTGAAAGCAGAGTTATAGAAAAGAAGAGGCAGAGAGAGAGAGACAGAGACAGAGAGAGAGAGAGAGAGAGAGAGTCTTCCATCTGCTGGTTCACTCCCCAATGGCCACAATGGCAGGAGCTGGGCTGATCTGAAGCCAGGAGCCAGGAGCTTCCTCTGGGTTTCCCGTGCAGGTGCAGGGGCCCAAGGACTTGGGTCATCTTCTACTGCTTCCCCAGGTGCATTAGCAGGGAGCTGGATCAGAAGTGGAGCAGCCGGGACTCAAACCAGCACCCATATGGCACTGTAGTTGGCAGCTTTACACACTACGCCACAGCGCTGGCCCCTAGCAGACTAATTTTTAAGCTAATAATTTTGTATTGTCCAGGAATGATGTTATAGATATCCAAATGACCCTTAGTGGCAAAAAGCTTCCCCACCCCTGTATAAATAATAAATAAACTGTTCTGAAATCCTATACTCTTGGCCCTTCAGGTAATGGTGCCCACAAAGCACTGATGTCTTGGAAAGCAATCTGATTGTGTATTTTTTCTATGTGGCAAAGTGAAGTATTAACGGCAAGGA